AAAAAAATGGAAATCTTTTCCTTATAATCTGCAGACAGCAAGGGATTTAATAAGGCATCCAGGAATGGAAATCCAGTTCATGAAAGATTGGATGGATTCATGACAAAAACATATTTCAAGATGAACATAAAACTCATCAAGAATTGAAAATTGTCCAAGTAGTGAGAAATATTTGATCAAGAGCTTCATGCAGGTGTCTCCTAAATCTCCAAGAAGCAGCAAATCTTTGGGTTTGCCTCCCAGAAGGCACCATCTTGAAGCTCATTGTTAGGTTGAGGTGGATTCGTTCTGATGGAGCAGAGTACTCAGAAGTTAACACTAATTGCATCTAAGAGCTTTATTATGTTTTTATGCTGCCACACACAAGCTCTCATTGCAATGTACGATTAAAACCAGGTAAGCGTACCTGATACACCCCCTTCAAGAGCAATTTCTTCAGGTAGCATTCCAGTTCATGCAAAACAGCTGAAACTCTTTTAAAAACTCAATTCCCTTCCCTTTATTAGCTCCCAACTAGATAATTTTTTCAAAGCAGTAGTTTCCCAACCATCTGACATCATTTGCATATTGAGAGCATCTCACCCAGCTTTCCCAGTAATTACATCTAGCTGAATGAGTATCTCCTTGCAATATCAAGTAGGACTCTCCTGTCCCTTTGCTGAAGAAGCAATCGGGTAAGTCCTAGTGGACAATCACTTACGGTAAATATGAGCCAGCAGTTTGCTGCAGCTGCCAAAAAAGCCAACACAGTTTTGGGCTGCATTAACAGAGGGATAGAATTAAGATCAAGTGAAGTGTTAATACCACTTTATAATGCCTTGGTAAGGCCACACTTGGAAAACTGCATCCAGTTTTGGTCACCACGATGTAAAAAAGATGCTGAGACTCTAGAAAGAGTGCAGAGAAGAGCAACAAAGATGATCAGGGGACTGGAGGCTAAAACATATAAAGAACGGTTGCTGAAATTGGATATGCCTAGTTTACTGAAAAGAAGCACTAGGGGTGCCATGAGAGCAGGGTTCCAATATCTCTGGTTGCCACAAAGAAGAGGGAGTCAAGCTATTCTCCAAAGCACTTGAGGGCAGGATAAAAAGCAATGGATGGAAACTAATCAAGGAGAGATGCAACCTAGAAATAAGAAGAAATTTCCTGACAGTGAGAACGATTAATCAGTGGAACAACTTGCCTCCAGAAGTTGTGAATGCTTCAACACTGGAACTTTTTAAGAAGAGATTGGACAACCATTTGTCTGAATGGGGTTGAACTAGAAGACCTCCAAGGTCTCTTCCAACTCTGATTCTATTCCTACTCTATTCTATTTGTCTTTGGCACTTGGCCCAAGCACAAAATTATAATCAAACCAAGTGAAATTTGAATTACAAAAGGTGCTTGGCCTTGCTTCCTCTTTAATGTATAGATAGTCCTTGTCTTATGAGCACAATTGGAACTGGTTCTTCTGTTGCTGAGCAAGGTGGTTGCTAAGTAAGATGGTTGCTAAAATTTTTAGAATAGAATAAAATAGAGCTGGAAGGGACCTTGGAGGTCTTCTAGTCCAGCCCTCTGCTCAAGTAGGAGAACCTATACCATCTCAAACAAGTGACTGTCCAGTCTCTTAAAAATCTCCAGTGATGGAGCGCCCACAATTTCTGAAGGCAAGCTGTTCCACTGGTTAATTGTCCTGTCAGGAAGTTTCTCCTTAACTATTCCATGTTGCTTCTCTTTGATCAGTTTCCAACCATTGTTTCTTGTCCTGCCCTCTGGTGCTTTGGAGAACAACACGACTCCCTCTTCTTTGTGGCAGCCCCTCAAATACTGGAATACTGCTATCATGTCTCCCCTATTTCTTTTCTTTAGACTAGCCAAACCGAAGTCCTGCAGCTGTTCTTTGTTATGCTTTAGTCTCCAGGTCTTTGATCATCTTAGTTTTATGAATTTTTTGGCTGAAGTTGTCAGTCACACAGCCTTGAAGCCAATTCAGCTTCCCCCCCCCCCCCGCCCCATTGACCTCTCTTGTTGGAAGCCATTTGGGATGGTCACAAAAGAGATTACATGAACTTGGGAACCAGCAACACTCATAAGTGAAATTTTACAAGCCTGCACAGTAGCTGTTGTTTTCGTTGGCGCTGTCCTGTTTTAAGCCAGGCTTTAAATTCAAGTTCCTGCAGTTATCCATTTTTAAATAATTGCATATATCATGTTTTCCCTTTTTACCTCTCCTCTTTGACAACACTTCACTCAGTCTTGTTATTAAGGGTTGCAGATACGCAATGCCGCAAATGTATACTGGCACTTGAGAGCACGTGCGCACACTACAGCAGTGTTTCTCAACCTTGACAATTTTAAGGCATGTGGACTTCAATTCCCAGAATTCCACAGCCAGCATTGCTGGCTGTGGAATTCTGGGAGTTGAAGTCCACATGCCTTAAAATTGTCAAGGTTGAGAAACACTGCACTAAAGGGAAAGCCAAACGAACAGCGACTGAGACTCTATGGCTGCTTAACAGCCTCTGGAAGAGAGAGGAGGGGAGAGGGAGGCGGCTAGTGCCTCTTTTCGGGACCAAAGGCAAACATCCGGCCCAGGAATCCGCGCCCTCCACTGGATAGGCCAATGACTTCAATCCGACTGTGACTGGCATTGCAGCCGACCAATGAGGTCCATAACTTTGGAGTTGGGGCTTCGCCTCTCAGTGTCAATAAGTATCCAGCCGACCAATAAACTTCATAGCTTTGGAGGCGGTCAATCAGTATGCAGCCGACCAATAAGTTTCATAGCTTTGGAAATGGGACTTCGCGACTCAGGACCCCCTCAGTGTCAATCAGTATGCAGCTGACCAATGACCTTCATGGTTTTGGAGGTGGGGCTTCGCACTAAGGACTCCCTCAGTATCAATCAGTATGCAGCCGACGAATAAGCTTCATAGTTTTGGGGGTGGTCAATCAGTATGCAGCCGACCAATTAGTTTCATGGCTTTGGAGGCGGGGCTTCGCCACTCAGCTCCCCCTCAGTGTCA